GTTCCATTATTGTTTGGGCTCTCTATCTTCCGAATCCAGAATCTGTTGTTTAGTTTAATCCAGTAATCTTGTGGAATATTTTCAATATCATTTCTTGGAAGGCCTCTAATGATCTTTGCTTGTGAAGCTCTACCTTGATTTTGGATGTCAAAAGCTTGTAGTTGCTGAAACAATCAGACCTGGTCTAGTCTTTGCTGTCAAAACTGCAGATTTTCACCTCTGTCCTATGTGCATGTAGTCAGTTTGATTATGATGCATGCCATTTGGAGATGTCCGTGTGCATAGCCGATGATTGTGTTGCTGGAATTGTGTATTTATGATAGTTGGTTAGTTTTGCAAAACTGTACAGTTATCACCAGCTACATTTCTTTCTGCAAAGCCGTATTTTCCAACCACTGCATCTTTGGATTTACATCCTACTTTTGCATTGAAGTCCCCCATCATGATTAGTTGATCTTGATTCATTGCTTCATATATTGCACTTTGACATTGTTCATAAAACAACTCTGCATCCTCCTTTTCTGTGTCTGTTGTTGGAGCATACACTTGGATCAGGGTGACAATGATTGGCTTTCCTGTAGACGGATTGAGATGACTCTGTCACTGATAGTATTGTATTATAGTACTGTTTTTGAGAACTTATTGTTGAGGATAAATACCACACCGTGTCCATTTGATTGAAAGTGTCCCTATCCTGTCCATTTGAGTTCACTGACTCCTAATAAATTGATGTTGGCTTTATCCATTTGACCTTTAACAATTTCTAATTTTTCTTGGTTTATACTTCTTATGTGCCATGTTCCTATGGTGATTATGTCTTTTGATCATCAACATCAGGATGTCCCATTGGCTTTGATCCATCAGCTTCATAATTACCAGGTTTGCTCTTGGTGACCAACAGCTCTTCCCTAGTAGAATGATGAGTGTTTTCCGACCTAGGGGACCATCTTTCAGCACTATGTGACAGTTCTCATCATCATCAATTTTTTTTGGAATAATACAGAAGTAAATTGCTAGGCCTTGCCTCTGCACAATGTAAGTTTAATGTTGTCATGTCAAACATGATCTTCCATCTTCAACACTGCCTGTCTGCTGCTGCCCAGATTGGTGGTATTTCATTAGTCTGGTATCTCACCTGGGAACCTGATCACCTTGGGGGGCTCTGCTGATTGTAAAACTACTGACGGCATAGCTTTTGGCTTCATAGATACACACACGCCCTGGAGGTTCGTCAAGCCTATGTACCATATCTGGTGCTCTAACACATTAGTTATACATTATTGTCCTCTGAGAGGGAAAATATTATTATAAGTTCTGATACCCTCTACAAATTTTGTAAAAGTAGAGTATATGTTTATAGAATACTAACATTTTAAATTTTATTTAAAATTTGTTCAAATGCTCATTATACCTGGACTGAATTCCATAACTGTATATATAGTATCTGTTTGACAAAGGGCATAAGTGCTTTAAGTGCATAAGAGTTTTTATATTTAGAAAGCATGTCACCACATATCTATTAATATTGTTCACTTACTGCTGCCTCATCTATGAAATATTGGGGGCCTACTAGAAATGATTACTAAACAATACTATTAAACAGACTTACTGATCATTTACTGACTCACTGATTGATTCACTGGGACATTGCGGGAAACTTAGCCACTTGAGTGACAAGTGATTCAGAAAAAAAAACTACATAAGATGTTTGAAAATGACACCACAATGCTGGACACTTCTTTTGACACAAAGAGTCTTTGTTGTTGGCTCTGCATAATATGAGCAAATCTTTGTGCAGAGCAGAAAACATTGAAACAATTGTGTTTTCTCCTACACTTGAATGTGGGACAGTGTGTATGCCGCAGAGCCACGGATCTCACCCAAGTTTAAGTATGTATAATTTCCTTCTGTAACAAAATGACTACTCTATAATGATTCATCAGCCTTGTACATTTTTATTCCAAGAACTAGGGCTCTATTAAACAGAAGTCCATAAAAACGTATATGGACACATAAATACTGTATCTGCTAAAAATTTAAAAAGGATTTGCTCTGGTTATCCAAGGATATCAATAGTACATACTTTTTGCACTAATAGGTAAGGGCATAAACTGTAACCCTAATAAAAGAGCAATACACCAATAATCTTAGCTGTTCATCTATGATGAACTAGCAGTGCTGTTGGTGTGTTCTGAGTTGAACAACATTGATCTAGTAGAAATTCTAATTTAGAAGCTACATTTCTAATAATCTTTGTGCTACTGCACAATGGCTGCAGTTAGCATGTAAGCATGTAAGAAAGGCATGCCTTGATTCCTTCCCAAAGCAATAGCATTGCCCTACCACAATTACATGTTTAGTCCAACCAGACCTGCTGTTAGAAATATGGGGCCCTGTATAGCCTACCTCATGGGGCCCCCAAGCCCCGCCCTGACCCCACACCCTGAGGGGGGAAAGAGGTGGGGGAGGGAGATGAGAAAGGGGGGAGGTGAGAGAGGGTCAGAGGAAGAAATGAGAGTAAGAAGGGGGTTAGAAAAACAGGGAGGAGAGATGGGAGAGAGAAGGAGGAAAGGGAAGGTGAGAGAAAGAGGGGAGTGGTGAGAGAGAGGGGGGGTGAGAGAGAGAGAGTGGGGGAAGAGGGGGGAGGTGAAAGTGAGGGGTGAGAAAGAGAGGGGGTATGAGAGAGGGGGGGTTGAGGTGAGAAAGAGGGGGAGTGAGAGAAAGGGGTGTGAGAGGGGATAAGAGAGAGAAGAAGGGTGAGAGGGAGGGCGAGAGAGAGAGTGAGAGTGAGAGGGGGTGAGAGAGAGAGGAGGGTGAGAGAGAGAGGGGGTGAAAGGTGGGTGAGAGAGAGGGTGAGAGGGGGTGAGAGAGAGAGAGAGGGAGGGTTAGAGGGGGGGGGGGGGGGGGTTAAATAGGGGGTCGTGATAGAGGGAGGGAGCGTGAAAGAGATAGATGTAGGGTTAGAGAGAGGGGGTAAAATAGGAGGGTGAAAGAGGGAGGGTGAGAGAGGGAGGGTAAAAGGGGGGTGAGAGAGAGAGGAAATAAGAGGGGTGTGAGAGAGAGAGTTAGGTCAGTATGTCTCCTACTCACAATTCTGGCCCCAGGCTGTCTTGTATGCTCAGGCAGTCAGGATCTAGAGCTGCTGCTGCGTTCTGTATATTTAAATAGCCCCTTTCACAGGACTTCCCCAGCCGGGAATACAGTAGAATGAATGGGACATCAGGGCTGCAGAGCCGGTGAGCGGAGCAGTGATCCCGGTGAGCGGAGGGGTGGGGTGGGGCGGGGCAATGATCCCGGCGGCCAGTGAGCAGAGGGGCAGAGCAGTGATCCCGGTGAGCGGAGGCGCGAGGCAGTGATCCCGGTGAGCAGAGGGGGAGGGCAGTGATCTCGGTGGCTGGTGAGCGGAGGTGTGGGGCTTGTAATGCATGGCTCTCTAGGAAATTGGACTGCTGAGAAGAGCACCGTGAACAGAGCCTGCTCTGCAGGAACATTTGATGGAGTATGAACAGTGCCCTGCAATGGGCAGAGTGACAGAGCCTCTCATGGGGCCCCCTGACTGAATAGTCAGTCCGTCCCTGTATGGAACATGTAATGGCTGGGCCCCCTTTTTTATTGATGGGGCCTGGGCTCCCTACAGGAGGCCCAGTGGTACCCCCTTATCAGCGGCCCTGAGTCCAACCAAAACTATTGGTTTAACTTCAGCTTGTACAATCAACAAGCTTCTTCAAAGAACAACTGGGGATCTTTTTCTAGCCAAACTAAACATTTCATGGACTTTTATAATTAATACAAAAATAAAAATAAGAGTCCATGTTAATTGTGTCAATAATCTAGTTTTCAATGGGAAATCTATCTCTATGTTATACAACTGACATGCACCAAATCAAAGGGATGTGGCAAGGTCTGTTATTCTGATGAATGCTAGTGATGCTTGTAAAGAATTTCAGGTGTGTTCATATGGCATATGTGGCCATCAATGCAGGTGGTCTTTGCTTCTAAGTGCATAAACTGTCCTTATGCCCATATACTGCCTGATTATTGCTATCAATTTAATTAATTAGGGGAATATCTAGCTCATATGTATAAAGATCATATGCAAATAAGGTTTATTTTAGACACCCAAATGGTGTGTGAGGCTCTGCCAATTTTGCTGCCCGAAAGTTATCCATTTGGATAATGTTTGAGAAAGATAATAGATACTTCTATGCAAATCTATTTCTATATTCACTCCACACTTTATAGCATCTGCCTAGACTATTCATAGCCAAATATATTGCATATGGATCGTCCTGTCACTGAAAAGGAAAAATCTTGGTTTCTCTGATCTTCTTGTCAGTGCCGATGATGTATAGTACCATGTATGTAATGGTTTTGCAAGCAGGGGCACAACTCTGTGGTAACAGATTATTTCACTGAGGAGCAACACTTCTACGCCAAAATATTCAGAGACTGGCCCATCATGTGTGTTAGAGATTTAGTTATATTTTAGCCTGCCTCACTGTCCGTCTGGGTCTCTGGCTGCCAACATATTTTTGACAGTGTTTAAGCCTGCCTAAGATTGCGAGATTTCATACACTCTACTGCTATTGGCCAACAAGCCTGGAAAAAACATTCATTTTGGAATAAATAGGTTTATTTGTATCTGCGATGTAAACTAGTGGTTCAGGAGGCATGTTGAGCCAGAAGCAATAAGGGGTGATTTGTATGACTCTACCCATGGTTATGAAATGAGGAAAAGTCCTTATTTTTTGTTTTTTTGTTGGACATGAGACATATGGATAACTTAAGGCTATTATTATTTTACAGGATTTATATAGCGCCAATAGGTTGCACAGCGCTTTACAATATAAATGCTGTATCTAAACAGCTGTATCTGAAGAAGGATAGTACAATTAGTCAAAGCTGTGCACATGCCTGTCTTTTAACCACTTAAGGACCGCCCACACTACATTTACTGCTGCAGCGCGGCCCTTGTGTGCAGGATCACATGTATATACTTGATTTTGCATTTCCAAGTAGAGGGCACACGCCCTATCCTTGCCGCTGATTGTGGCTCCTGGTCCTGGCCGGTGATTAAATAGGAAGAAGGGTCAGCCGCACACAGGAGGATAGATGAATATAGTGTGTATTTATTGATCCATAGGACACACAAAACAGCAGGACATGAGTACAGGACTTTGTTAACGCATTTCACACAATCTCCTGCTTAATAATAACAAAAAAAACAACACCTGTCCAGGGGCGGACTGACAACTCATGGGGCCCCCGGGCAATAGGGGATCATGGGGCCCTTGTGTCCTTGCCCAAACTCAAAAAAGCCTATGAAAAAGGTACCAGGGGCATCTCATGGGGCCCCCTACTGACCCCAGGCCCTCGGGCAGTGCCCGAGTTTCCAAATAGTCAGTCCGTCCCTGCACCTGTCCTAATCAGCACTCCTGAATCCTGAGGGTACGCCTACTAATACATTGTAACAATACATATTGTTACAATGTATTAGTAGGCGTACCCTCAGGATTCAGGAGTGCTGATTAGGACAGGTGTTCTTTATTAACTAATACCTATATAATACAGCACTTTTGTTGTTTTCTTTGTTATGATTAAGCACGAGATCATGTGAAACGCATTAACAAGTCCTGTATTTATGTCCTGGTGTTTTGTGTGTCCTTTGGATCAATAAATACACACTATATTCATCTATCTTCTGGTGTGCGGCTGACCCTTCTTCCTATTGCGTCGTGTGTGGTGGCGAGCCAGAGCCTGCACCTGTTGTGGATTGATCTGGATTGGTTCCCTGAGCGGTATACCTTTTGTTCTTTGGACCTGGCTGGTGATTAGCCGACGGCGCCCGGTGATTACCAGCAATCACCGACAGGGAGGAGGGCTGCATTGATTACCAAAAACACTCATCCCTGTCAGTTTGCGCACACTGTTCTGGATGGCTGAGCAGAGCCATTCAGAGCAGTGTGCTTACAGTGAAGCACCCCCCCCCCCTAGTAAAACACTCCCATCACACAGTAAACCCTTTGATTGCCCCTCATGTTAACCCATTCCTGCCCAGTGCCATTAGTACAGTGTCAGTGCTTTTTTTTTTTAGCACTGATCACTGTATTGGTGTCCCTGGGGATGTTAGTGACACCAAGTCAGTTCCCCCCAGTGTCAGAATGCCTGCCGCAGTTTTGCAAAAAGTCGCTGATCATCACCATAAGTCGCTGATCGCCACCATTATTAGTATAAAAAAAAAATCCCAGTATCTATAGCGCCATTTGTAAACGCTATAATTGTCACGTAAATCAATTAATTTACACGTATTGGGATTTTTTTTTAGCAAAGACATGCCACAGAATACATTTTGGCCTAAATTTATGATGAAATTAGATTGTGAAATTTTTTTTACTGGACAGGTTTAATAGCAAAAAATCCAAAATATTGTTTTTTTTCTCAAACAATTGACAATTGCAAAAAACGCTGCACCCAAATCAAAGTTAGGTCTCCCCCACAAATAGAGCTTTCTTTTGGTGGTATTTGATCGCCTGTGTGGTCAAATTTTTTGTCCTGGTCAATTTTTGCTATTTTGTTATAAAATTTTAAATCAAATTTCATCAACCATTTAGGCCAAAATGTATCCTGCGAATGTCTTTGCTAAAAAGAAAAAAAAAAAAAAATGCGTGTAAATTAATTGGTTTACGTGAAAGTTAGTGTTCAAATACCACCAAAAAAATGACGTATTTCGAAATTCTTTTTACCAGTAATGGCGCGATCATCGACTATATAGCGATGTGGGCATTCTGACACTGGGGGGGGAATGACTTGGTGTCACTGACATCCACATGTGACACCAATACAGTGATCAGTGCTAATGAAAAGCACTGACATGTTACTAAATGGCACTGGGCAGGAAGGGGGTTAACGTGGGGTGATCAAAAGTTGACTGTGTGCTGTTTTTTTACAGTATGCTGTGTGTGTGCTTTCCACTGTAAGCACAACTGCTTTGTATGGCTTTGCTATGCAGAGCCATGTGCAAGAGCTGACGGGAGAGATCTGTGTTTATACACAGGTCTCTCCCGTTCGTCGGAGGATTACTCGGCGATCACCGGCCAGGACCCGGTGATTGACACCGAGGCAGCGAATGGAGGTGCGGGTAGGGCGTGCATGCACCTCCTACTGCGAAATCGCGTGTATATATACTTGATTTTGTGCACCCATGGCGCCCTGTAGCAGTATTTCTGCTGTAGGGTGGTGAGGAACGGTTTAAGGGATTGAAGATAGGCAACAAAAGCTGTAAGACTGCCCTATTGTCTCACCTCAACGACAACAACTCCTCGATCCCCTACAGTCTGGCTTTCTACACTCCACCGATAACCCGCCCTTACTCAAACTCTCCAACGACCTTCTAACGCCAAGCTAATGCCCACTTTCAGTGCTCCTACTCCCTTGACCTCTCTGCGGCCTTCGACACAGTTGACCACCCCCTCCTCCTCAAAATTCTACACTCCCTCGGCCTCAGAGATTCTGCTCTCTCCTGGCTCTCATCTACCTGTCACAAAGCTCTTTCAGCATTACCTATAATGCTACCACCTCCCCCTCACTCCCCTCTCTGTTGGGGGTCCCTCAAGGCTCTGTCCTTGGGCCCCTTCTCTTCTCCATCTACACCTCCTCCCTTGGCCAACTCATACACTCTCACGGCTTCAACTACCACCTCTATGCCGACGACACACAAATCTATCTCTCAACCCCCCACCTCACCCCCCTCGGTCTCTGCCCAAAATCACACACCTACTGAGCGACATATCAGATTGGATGTCGCTCCACTTCCTTAAACTGAATCTCTCCAAAACCGAGCTCCTTGTCTTCCCCCAGCCCGAACCCCACCCCCCATTGACTTCTTCTACATCACATCCAACAACGCCAATATCAAACCCGCTCTGCAGGCCAGAGTACTTGGTGTCATTCTGGACTCCAACCTATCCTTCCAGCCCCAAGTCCAATCTTTAACAAACTCGTGCAGGACTCCCCTCCGCAACATCGCCAAAATCCGCACGTTCCTAACCCAGAAACCACTAAAGTAGGACTCATCCACTCCCTCATCATATCACGACTCGACTACTGCAACTCCCTCCTCACTGGCCTGCCTCGCCGCTGGCTATCCCCGCTTCAGTCGATCCTGAATACGGCTGCCAGAATCACCTTTCCAACCGCTCCTTTTCCGCCACCCCCCTCTGCCAATCCCTCCACTGCTTCCGATTGCGCAACGGATCAAATTTAAAATCCTAACACTGACGTACAAAGCTGTCCACCATACTGCCCCGAACTACATCACTGACCTAATATCCAAGTACGCCCAGCACGCACACTCCGCTCCTCACAAGACCTCCTTCTCTCTAGTTCCCTGGTCTCCTCCTCCCATGCCCGCCTCCAGGACTTCTCCAGGGTGTCACCCATCCTCTGAACTCCCTGCCCCAACCCATCAGATTATCACCTACTCTCCTCTCCTTTAGGCGCACCTGAAAACCCATCTCTTCAGGGAAGCCTACCTCATCCCCTGCTAACTTGCTGACCTCCTCCACTCTTCCTACCACTCCATCCCCCACAGCTATCTCCTCCTGTACCACTGCCCCATCCCTTCTAGATTGTAAGCTCGAAAGAGCAGGGCCCTCGATCCCCTCATGTTTTGCATTGTATTTGGTAGTCCTGTCACATGTTCTGTCCCACTTTGTAATGTACAGCGCTGAGTGAACTATTGGCGCTTTATAAATACTGTATAATAATAATAATAATAATAATAACAAAACACAAACCACTTCTTTAACTGCCTCCTGACCACCCTATAGCAGAAATACTGCTACCGGGCGGCACGGGTGCGCAAAATCACGTATATATAAGTGTTTTGCACTCCCATGGTTTTCACGCCCCTCCGAGATAGCATCAGATTGCCCATCAGTACACCAGTAATCACATTTAACCCCTTGATTGCCAGGAACATAATAAATCTCCATTGCTAGTATAGTGTCTGAATGGATCAATATCAATTTGATCAGAACAGCACTATACCAGCGTTCACATTAGTATAGTGTCCCCAAAAAACACAGCGTTAGTGGCATCAGTCCCCGTACCTGCCAGTACCTGCGTTTAGCCCCTATGCTTACTCCCCCCTTTCTCCCCCAGCAAGTGCAGTGTCAGTAGGTCACTGTCACATGATACATTGCACACAAAATCGCAGTGTTCACAGAATCAGGCCTGATCTCTGCTAGCACTTGCTGGTAAATTTTGATGACTCTCATATGCAGCAGAGTGCCAGTACTAGTGCAGCTCTACCTTTTGGTGAACTGGAGAGCACCAGTGGCTTAGTAAATTCTGGTATTTCACATACCAGCATTGCAGTATCACTTGGCGACATGGCAAGTCCCATAAGTGCAGTACAAGCTGGTGCGGTGGCGAGCACAAGTATTGTCCCACAACCACCAAGAATTCGCACACAGGCCCGTAGAGCCAATCAGCAGAAATCTGCACTCTGTCACTAATGAAACCTACTACACACAAAAGAAAAGTAAACTTTCATCCTTGAAAGTATGAATAAATATAACCACACACTTCTTTACACCTAATATGTCCAACTAAAATACATGCATAAAATAAATATAAATAAATCCATAAATCCCCAAAAAATATAAATATAGGAAAATAGTCCAAAAGTAAAAATGTCCAAATTGTCTCTGAAGGAAATTCTTTCAAAATCCTCAAACACACTCGTATCCTTCTTCAGACATCCAAAATTGAATCTTACAAAAATCTTCATAAACCTCAAAAATATAAACTCATGATAGTGTATTACCCTTAAACTGAAACACCCATACAAACTTGTGAAAAAACCGTGTATCATGCTAATTACATAACGTGTATTCACACGTGAAAAAAAAATTTAATATATACAAGATATGTGAATCTTAAATGGTAAAGCAAAATCGTGACCATTCAACTACAAACTATAAATGTGTGCCCACCATTAGAAGTGGGTGGATGCAGGGCAGTATATTCTAATAGTGGGCATACTAATCTCTGGCATAGATTTCTTCTCTTTTTTTCATTCAGCCCGCAGGCTGTATACAAAAAAAAAAAAAAGAACATAGCATAGATACCTAACAAGGATCAGCGACATACTGGTACATCACTGGACTTTGAATGGTTATACCAGGATGATGCCTACAGCTGCAGGCATCATCCTGGTATTGTTTTTTTAAGCCGGCGGATTGGCTTTCATGTAAAAGCAATCCTAGTGGCTAATTAGCTGCAGAATTGCTTTTACAAGCAGTGGAGATGATGCCCTCCCCTCCCCTGCTGCCTTCCACGGCCTTCTCGGGCAGTCCTGTGCCATCAAGGGGAACCTAAGAATGCAGCCGGTGTTTCTGCCAGCTGACCATAGAGCTTATTGGAGACCGGAATGGCCCCAACCATCTCTGTAGTTTAAGAAATTGGAATACGAGCATTTCATCACTTCAGTTTCGTAGGATATAAACAGCACCATTTGTAAATTGGGAAAGCATCTGATCACACCGATCTTGGTGAGATTAGATAATGTAAGGGCAGAAAAGAGATCTAGAGTCTGATAGAACCCATATTTCTCAAAAAAGTATATATGACAATGCCCATTGAAGTAATAGGGGATATTTGCATTCCTGTGATAGCATTAAAAGTGATAAAAAAAAATAAAAAATGAAAGGGACAGTGTAAAAATAATAAAAAAAATCAAAATAACTTAAAAATAAAAGCCCCCCCCCCCACACGTCACCTGTGTACGCGAGCGTTGACCTTGTGCCGATATGTAGACAGCGGTTGCACATTGCATTTGAGGTATCGCCGCGAATGTCAGATCAAGGGCAGTAATTCTAGCACTAGACCTCCTCTGTATATCTAAAATGGTAGCTTGTAAAGGCTTTTAAAACATTGCCTATGGCTATTAAAACTGTATGCAGTTTGTCGCCATTGCACTGGACATGCCAGTTTTAAAGCTTGTCATGTTTGGTATCTATTTACTCGGCATACCATCATCTTTCATATCTTACCAAATAATTGGCCAATATATTGTGCTTTTGTGCATTAAAAGTAAAAAAAGTGTATTTATTTCAAACAAATTGCTTTTGAAAAATTGCTGCGCGCGAGTACTATGTGACATAAGAAATTGCAGCACCCA